AAAGAAAATCATTCACTGATCTTGACTGAATATATTTAATAACTTTAATTGATTAATCTATATTTTATTTATGAAAAGAAAACTATGCAGTGTTTTTAAACTTTTAATACAGTTTCTGTACCTGAAATTTTGTTCAGTTGTATTTATTTATGATATTGCTAATTGATTTGTTTGTTCCTATCTCATTACTGACTGTTTACTTGTCTTTAACATTTTAATATTTGGAATTTATATTAATCTAGTTGTTTTTGCTGTGGTAATTTTTTTTAAAGCATGGGCTAAATTCCTCTTGCAGTGTTCTGTAGGCTGCTGCTTTTTGCTCGTGTTATTCAGCTGCAACAGAATGCTTTGTAAAAAGACAGAATAAATGTTTGACATCTAAATGTTTGACTTAATTTTTTTTATATTGGATTTTTTATCTTATTGGAATCTAAACTAGGAATCGATAAGAATCGGAATCGATAAAATTCAAACGATACCCAACCCTACTTCTGTCAGATGCAGTTTAAGTAAAGAGTGTCTGAGAAAAATGCGCTGTCCCGATTCAGTATCTGCGGTCAGATGAGATGTTGACAGGTTTAATGTCAGTGTCATTATTCTATCGTTATTTTCATAACTTGTTATGGAATAAAAAGCCTCTCACCTCGGAGAAACGAACTATCCTGTCCTGCCAGATGTTATACCGTGCTCGTAGCGCACACTCTTCAATAGCACACGCAAACGTGGCGCTGTGCTGTATATCACTTCACTAAAGCACAGAAACTATGAGCATGCAACGCGTGTACAGTACCGATAAATCACATAACTGGTACTGCGTGTGTTAGCTGGAAAGGATTTGCATGAAAATATGATATTCATTCTATTCAGAAGCAGTTTCCACGTTTCATTAACAGTTCATGTTAGCATTGTATATTCACCATGGTAACTGTTGTTTCCATAACCCAAAAATACCATGTTATTTTCACTTTGTGTCATTTTGTATATGTTTAAATGACTGTGGTGGCTCATACCAACTTACTTGTATTAACAAAAACTTGTTTGGGCCTGCTATGTAATAGCCTTAACTTATAGGCTGTTTATTCCTTATTAATCATATTCTTAACAGTCTTAACTTAATTTTTGTGAAATATATAAGAATATATAAGAATTTGCTTGGTTTTTGGTTTTTAACAAATTATATATATGGTAAGTGGGTCGCGGCTTGATGACCATGGGAAAACGTGGGTCCCAAGGCAAAACCAGTTGAGAACCACTGCATTAGACAACATAAGCTGGCAGAGTGTTGGAGCAGAAGCTCAGGAGAAAAGAGGAGGGCGTTTTCACACCGGGCTGTGGAGTCCGCTCGATGTTCTAATGTGCTTTCTGCAGTGGCCGGTTCTCAATGAGAGTGTAAGAGTGTCTGGGCTACGGCTCACTGTTGGTTTAAAAGCAATCCGGACTAATTTGTTGAACTAAACAACTATCGATGGTGCATTACTTTAGTATAAAAATATTAACATCCAGTAATATTACTAGTTTAACTGCATTGCCACTATGGGATGGTAAAATCTAAACTGAGCTGATTTATGACATTGCCTTCTGTAGAGCTGCTTTAGAGCTGAAGTGAACTTGTTTCATAATTGACCCTTCGCCTTGAGTTTGATTGACAGGCGATCTGACCAATCGTAACGCCGAATCTGCCATTTTGTCTGACAAACAAACCAGACTGGAGAGTAGATTAACGTTGGTGGACTTGAACTTGAAAAACGGTGTGTAAACAAGATTCCTCCTGATGTTCATTTAGTGCTGTAACTAGTAATGAGGAAGAGATGACCGATTCACGTGCTGCTTGAACTGATGCTCTACAAGGGGGCGGGTCTTTGCGAAGGGTCGACTGGACTCTCCAACACTGAAAGAGTAACTGAACTGAATCTAAACTGAGCTGAATGACACTTTTGTCTTCTGTAGAGCTGCTTTACAGCTGAAAATGAATTTGTTAATTGGTGAATTTAAAACATAGTAATTTTCCTGTTTATTAATGTGTAAGAGCCTGTATTATATAAAGCGCTACATAAATGTGAAATAACTATAAAGCTGCTCATCTCCACAGAAACAGCCTTTAGTGATGCATCTTTTGCAAGTCCACAAGTGCTGATCTGTGTCAAGTTTTGGTAGTAAAACCAATGGCGTGAGGGCATTGTGGTATATTTCTGAGGTCATTAGCTGTCAGAATTCAATTATTTTGGTTAAGAACCACATTCCAATCTTTGAGTTTGGTTCATGTGGACTCCAGTACAGTTCAGTCAGTAAGTAATCTGGCCTAATTTGATCACGCTAACCGCAGAAGTAATGATGTGACTTTCTTAGGTAAGTAGAACAGTTCTATTCTTTGAATCTCTTGCAGAGAGATGCAAGTTTTGGTAGTAAAACCCAACAAGAAGCCATTACCTGGCTACACAGGTAAACCGCTGTCACAGCAGTATTCACATCGATGGCGTAGAGAAGTGGAGAGAAAGCGAACTCTGGTTCAGATCGAGTGTGAAAACGCCCTGAGAGAAACACAGAGGCATCTGTCTGGATTTCAGTGTCCTAAACGAGAGTAACTCAATCAGGAGCTCTTCAGTGGGCTGGACCTACATCATATCTAACGAACAGGCCGGTGACTAGCAGAGGGGTGGAATGTCGGCCGCCATGGAAACAGCCAATAATGGGCTAGATAACACTGTTATTGTCACAAAGTTGGTTTGTGTGCATTTGAGGGCAGTTCCACAGACAGGATGAGTTCTCAAAGTGCTTCAGTCCTCCATTGGCTTGCGTGTAGGGCGTCTGTGAAAGACTCTCTTCATGTGAGAGCTATAGGAAACAACAGTTACCATAACCCAAAAATACCACGTTATTTTCACTTTGTGTCATTTTGTATATGTTTAAATGACTGGTGGCTCAAACCAACTTAACTGTATTTACAAAAACTAGTTTGGGACTGCTATTTAATAGCCTTACGTTATAGGCTGTTTATTCAGTATTAAACATTCTTAACAGTCTTGACTTAATTTTTGTGAAATAAATTTGCTTTGTTTTTGTTTTTTAACAAATTATATATATATACATACAGTATACATACACATTGCGGCAGGAATGCCAGCGCTCCTTCAGGGCTCACGGACGCCATGAATACAGGCCTTTGACGGGCAGGGAAATGTCACATCTGGGTGGCAGACTGACTCGAGGCGTACAGTACGGGCTGGGTTTCTCTGAGTATTGTTCAAGAACTGGACTCGGAGTGAGCCGTGTATGTGTGTGCCTCCAAACAGAGGATGATCCCAGTGTATTACAAAACATTTAGGCAGCATGATTCAAGGCTTAGCATCATTTCGGAGTTATCATTTCTACAAAACAAACCAGAATCAATACAAAAAATGGGGAAAAAGAAAGTATTTTCATAAAACACCCTAAGAGTGTTTATGAAGTGACTTAAAGTGACTTATGAGTGACTTAATTTTAAGTTTAAGTTTATGAGTGACTTAAAGTGAGTCACTTTAAGTCACTCACTTTCACTTTAAAGAGAGAAACTCATTGCAGTACGAGTGGATCTGTACGTTTAACATCTGAGCAGGAGTAATAGCTAGTTATTGTTCCAGGGCACCTCCTGTAGACCTGAGGACTGTGATGAAGATGATGAAGAGGTCTTTCTCACCTTAGAGTCGGAGTTGAGCTCCAGAGCCGGGCCATTTTCTCCAGCACCTGCAGCTTGACTGTAATCACTCACGTTCACCACAGGAGCTGCCGCCACACACACACACACACAGAAGCATACCGTTAGCCAGTATTCGTTCATATCTTTAAACAGTGTTGTCAGAGAACACAGAGAATATCTGAGACTTTTTTTTTTCCATTTAAACCCTTTGAACAGTGAAATGAAAGATGTGCACTATTTCCAGGTGACTAATCAAATGTAAGTAAATAAGACCTTCTCACATTCATGTTTATTTTTCAATTAAACTTTTTCCTCAAGCTGTTATGTTGGTCAGTTCTTTCATTTTTATTGAAGAATTCTGAATTCAGTTAGAAAAGAATCAGTAGAAACGCAGTGATCTCAGATGCCACTGTATGACTAAACATTTATATTTATCATTAAACATTGGGTTTAAAAAAATCATTAATGCTTATTAAAAATCAATTAATAAACACCTAAGCTGGAACAGGGTGGCATACATTTTGTACTGAAAATAATTTTTAACTAATTCTAATACAAATCTACTCTCTACTGCTCACATGATCAGTCACATGACTGTCAGCTGTAAACAGCTGTTTGTCTGTTAGTGCTTGGACAATTAATAAATTCATACTTTATTTATTAATATGAAAATAATACCCTGTTTATTATTTGATTATTTAAATATCCTATTTTAAAAATTAGGAAAAACTGAAGCACTATGATGCACGTGATTTAAAAAATGTGGAAATTAGTTGAAATTATTTAATGCAAACTCTTATTTACATGAAGTTAAACATTTGACCCAGCTACATGTTTGACTAGTAAAATAATAATTTGTGCAAGCTCTAATTTAGAGAATGTTCTCGTTTCTTTTCTTCATTAAAGATCGCACTCGCTGTTCTCACACTGTAGTATTCTTCTAAGCAGTTTCCAGCATTTGAGCAATGAAAGCGTCCATGCGTATGTATTGAAGAAGAGCAACAGTTACTCTACAGGGCTTGGCAGCGGTCAAAAATAGTTTACGAAATGACTTTTGGATCGATCCCTTCTTGTAAACTCAGAGATGTGGATTCGGACGGCAGTTAAAAGACCACACGACCTTGGCGTCTGTCAAAAACAGTAGGTAATTTAGTCAGAAATTGGGAGAAAAACACTGGATTTGGATGGCAATAAAGTCACTATATATACACTCTGTAAATGCTGAAATGACCTCAGGCCCCATGAGAAACAGTTACGGTCCGGCTTTATTCTGCACTAAGCAGTGATTTCTGTGACAGTGCATCCAGACTACCAACTACATCTGCCAAAACATGTAGTGTACAATGAGAACACATTATTATTAATACAACTTCCATTCCCAGTCAGAGAATGAAGCAGAATTAATATCAGCCAAGATTTTTCCTCTTTCTTGATTTCCAAGATTTCCAAGATTTAAGGAACACAAATTTGACTTAATGTAAAATAAACATAACTGTTCCTGTTTCCCGAATTAAATATACATGTGACGTGCTCAGGCATCTATAATATTGCATACGCTACGATTTAAAACATTTAATGTTGCGTTCATATACTAAAAAAAACACTGTATTATACAGTACACTGCACAGTATGCAGTAATCCAGTATTTCATTCCAAACATGGCCAAAACCTCAGCTGGGACTCTAAAGCCCTTGAGGTCAAATGACATTTACATCCAAAGACAACAAACACACACACACACACACACACACACACACACACACACACAATCTGGATATGGTTTATGTAAGCATTCTTATGGGACAGCGTTCTCGAATGCACTACACACTTCTGAAAATGGAGTACTAACACTCAAACGTGCACTACACCCCGTGAGATTCACAGCAGCACCGTTGCTCTCCATTAGGAGCCTGTGGATAATGGATCCGACAGTACAGAAGAACATGTGAGCGCTCCCGCTCCGCATCGGCATGACCTGGATTGATCTGTGTGAAAGTAGGCTAATGTAGCCTGCGCTGCTGGGACGTCCGTTTCATCAGGTCACTCTGTGACAGCTCTGAGACGCTGCAGAACTGGGCCACACGCAGTTCCCCGCGCGTCCACCAGGGGGCGATCTCAACATCATTAAAACAACACAGCCCTGACTGGATTCCCAGCAGGAGGAAAAACGGGGTCATATTAATGGAGAGGAGCTGGGAAAGCAGATTCTCAGATGCTTTCATCAGTGTTCATAGCGGCTGCACATGAATCGATGGGGAGCGGCCCGCATGCATTTACAATCTCCACTCACGATTTAAAACATGAGTGTGTCATCAATCACAAGAGCCATACTGACGCTGGATCACACTGTTGAGTAAGGCCGTTGAACTCTGTTCTGTCAGTGGGAAAAAGAAAACTTTACATAGCCTTCCTAAAGATCCGAGCATTAGAAATGCATGGCTGAGGTTTATTTTTAATGACGTGCCTGAGCGACTGAAAGATAAAGTTTTCATTTATTGTTCACACGTCACAACGGACTGTTTTGTGAATTATTCTAAACATGCTGCTGGTTTTTCACAAAAGCTTTTATTGAAAGAATAAAACACAGCAGTGCCAAACATTGAGGAAACGCAGGTCAGCGCATTTATTTTGAATTTATTTTCGTATTTATTTTACAGTGTGTTTGTAATAAATGTCAAACCAGCGTTTAATGCTATTAAAACACCAAGCATGAAAGCATGAAAGTTGCAACCAACTGTTGGCAAATGAATGAGAAACAATGTAATTTCTCAAACCTACTTAAGCCGCAGCGACTTTTGTAACACAAGTAACAGTAGTCCTTCAAAAACTATATACTGAAAATTAAGAAATTAAGCAAGCAAAAGCAATCCCCACACTGAAAACAGACTGTTGCAATTTCTTCCATCTCGGGCCTCAGATTCCAGATTTTCAAATAGTTGTATCTCGGCCAAATATTGTCCGATCCTAACAAACCATACATCAATGGAACGCTCATTTATTCAGTTTTCTGATGATGTATACATCTCAATTTCAAAAAATTGACCCTTATGACTGGTTTTGTGCTCCAGGGTCACATATATGGCTCTATCACAGAGCTTGCCATCTCCAGTATCAAAACACACAACATGCTGTACGTGAGGGCGTGGCTACAGTGAGACGAGGTTAGCCAATCACAGCAGTGGGCGTTTACTTCTGTTTCTGCAAGAGGAATTATTGGACCTTCCTTGGGACAAAAAAAAAAACGTTGCCAACTGAGTGAGTAAAACACATGCGAAATAAGTCAACTGCTGCAACGTCAAGAGGGTTCAAAGGTCAAAATATAGCTCATATTTTTTTGTATATATTTGACCTGTATGATCACTTTGGGGGTGGAGCCTGACGCTGACTCTTTCTGTGCTGTATCACTGCTCTGTGCTTCATTCTGCTCTGCCTATAAAACCCTCATTTCTCAAACCCTTCAAGCTCATCTCTGCTCGCTCCACAGACAGGAAACAGATGTCCCTCATTTCCTGTGTCTGTCCACGGCAGACAGCCGGGACAATGCGGCTACATCTATTCATGCACACGGACACAACAATACAACACAAGATCACTCCTCAGCAGAAAACATATCGGGACACGAGAACAGCAGCGATGGACAAACCGCAGAAAAACCAATCAGGGTTCATTCATATAGAGAGAAAAATCATGACAAACAAGAGGTGAATAACATGCATAATAAACACTGAAGCCCCATTCACAGGAGCGGTGATTTACTCAGTGTAGGTCACTCATTTATCATGGAGCTAACTCTTTCAGTTCAGAGCTGAAGGGTCCGCTGTCCAACTGAACTGAGTTTTTATATTATTAAGAAAAGCTCAAATGACGGTGGGGCTGGTGTTTCACCCTGAGGCAGACCCCACAGAAACATATCTGCATTTTTACATATCAATTATTTAGTGTTTATTAATCAGTCTTCTTCAGGAGGACTGCTGCAGCTGATTTCAGGTTTTACTACCCAAGTTTGGACCCCATAATGTAGGTTAAACTAGTACACACACACACACACACACACACACACACACACACACCTCAGCTGAAGAGCCTCATTCACCGCTGGGAGATTTCCTGCAGATAAAGAGTTCATAACCTGGAAGTGCGAAGAGTTCACTGACAAACACGCTGCGTCACGCTTGTTTTCTGCTCCTCTGAGGGCACAGATGAGATTTGGGCATGTTGTATTGAAGAAAAACAGGCGCTGCGCCTCAGTGCCTTTCTAAGAGACCAAAGAGTTTGTGGCAGCAGATAAAAGACTTCCTGTGTGTGTTTGTGTGAGGGCACTGACAAACACACACACACACACATACACACAGAGCTGAACCACGGCCTGAACACACATCACAGGCAACACTTTATATGTATGAAAATATTACACAAAAATAAATTATTTTAGCACCCAGTTTTTGCTAAGTGTATTTCAAATTGGGCTGGGCTATACATCAAATATTAGGGATATTATTGCGATAATTCTGCTGAATATTAAAGGTTCAGCTTACACTTAAGTCAATCTAACACCCCTTTTTCGTCCCACAACTCTGACAGCCATTGCTTTTAAACTCCTGTGCATGTGTTTGCACTCTGTGAAGAGCGTCAAAGCTTTGTGAAGCATTGACCACTATAGCCAATTACAGACATTTCTGTTGAGCACCAATCAGATGTGTTTTAGTCAGTCAGCTGCACATCTGTTCAATACACTCAAAACACTGGAGGCTTTCATTTAGCGTGTCTCAACTAACAATCTAAACACAAAGTAAATAAGAGATTCATTGATTATAATGCTTAAGTGATAGACAGCTTCAGTGATTTTAAAGGGAGCGCTCTTTTCTCGCTTTATCTTATTTGTCTCTTTTTGTCTTTTTTTTTTTTTTGCTGTTACAGCAACCACAGCTTTTGGTAAGAAAGACTGCAGTTTGTATAATTTTCATATTTTTGTATTTCATATTGTTATATTAGTACAGTGGTACCCTATTTTTATTCCTGTTCCTTTTTAGTTTGGTGATTCAGAAAAAAAGCAGTAAGAGATTACTATGTCTAGATATTTTTTTAACTAGCCCTGATTTTGCAATAAACAATTTGTACTTTTTTCCATGGGCGACAACAAAAAAAAAAATCACCTTTTTAAATTTTGAGAAAGCAATTGCAAAATCGATATTCAAGATATATACTGAATATCATCAAAATTTGGAAAGATCTAGAGAGATCATTTTTAAAAAGGTATAAATACAAAAGCTATATTGCCCAGCCCATAATTTCAATTCCAATTAAAGGGCACATGTGTCAAGAAAAACTAGATTTGAACATGTGAAGGGTTATTAAAACATTGTTGTGTCTGAGCATCACAATCAGCCTGACACAACACGGACTCAAGCACCGAACGGGGACGGGACTAGCCGTTTTCATTTAGTGAGGCAGAACTCATGCTTCACTTCAGCTGGAAAAATGGCCAAGTGTTCCTGTGACACACAGACAGAGCAAATGAAGTGCGATACCTCCATCAAGACTGCGAGAGATGCGTTTGCTGGAGGTGCGCTGGAAGTAGGGCGTGGGCCGGTCGATGAGGGAGCTGGCCTGTCGCGTCTGCGCCTGCGTTCTGCCGCTGTAGCGGAACTTAGAGCCCAGAGTCAGGAACTTGGTCTTGGTGGGCTGTTCAGGAGAAACCAACCTGTGAACAGAGTGACAGACAGCAGCGCTGAGAGGACTCGCACTACACACACAGTACCGTCTCTACATATGCGCTCAGACACCCATTATCTCTTTCTCTCCAAATCAAGTCGTGACGTGATCCATTACTGACATCAGTCCACAAAGTGGCAGAAAAGGCAACCGACAGCTGGAGAAAAGGGTTTTATTGCAATAAAAAAAGGTTTATTCAGGTTTAAGGCCCCACCGGTATAGAAAAACCTGTACACACACACAATCACACACTCACTCACACACTCTCTCACACACACACACACACACTCACACACACACACACTCACACTCTCTCTCTCACACACTCACACACTCTCACTCACACACTCTCACTCACTCACTCACTCACACACTCTCTCACTCACTCACACACACTCACTCACACAGGATAGATTCAGGTTCTGTGAGGCAGCAGCCACCTGAAGCCCCTCAAATCTCCAAAAACTCTGTTGTATTGCTGATATGTTTACCTGAAGAAGGTGTGGTGTTCAACACAGACTTTCCAAACTCTTTTGGCGGCCCGGTGGTTCGGCAGCTTGAAGCCGACGGTGCTCTCAAACTGCTCGGCCTGAGACACACATATAAATCACTTTATCAATATCAGCATTACAGACACAGTGACTGTCATCAGCCTCAGACTCAGTTTTTTGCTCAGTCGTACCTCTCCCGGCCTGATCTTGATGTAGAAGTTACTGCGTTTGTAAGAGATCTTGAGGATTTTGGGCCAAGCAAAGCGGTTTATCCGCAGACGATCCTTATAGATTAACAAACCGTTTGCACACACTCCCAGCATGATATCCACTCCCTCAGAGTCCTGGGAAAAGAGAGGACATGAAAAACATTCACATCCACTTCCAGCACAAGATCTGCTCACACATCAGTAAAAGCTGAGTGAATCTGAATAACTAGTAGAAAAACAAAGGCAGCCACTCTCCTCTCAGATTTTTGAGACACCAGCATCAACACGCATTTCAGATCTGAATAGTGTCGGGATATTTTAAGCCATAAACTAATTATGTCATTCGGAAAGCCTTCCGTCACATGCAAATAAAATCAAAACTTGATTGTGTGTGAATGGTTGGATGTGATCATGTTGTGTTTTGCCCTGACAGCTTCAGGAAACACTGGTTTAGTCTGTTTTAAAGGGGTGGTTCATTGTGATTTCACTTTTTTAACGTTAGTTAGTGTGTAATGTTGCTGTTTGAGCATAAACAATATCTGCAAGGTTACGAAGCTGAAAGTACAATGCAAATGGAGATATCGTCTTTTAAAATTCTGGCAGTTTAATGCCTACAAAAACGGCTGGTAGGGACTACAACGAGTTACTTCCCGGGTTCGTGACATCACAAACCCAGATAAACCCCGCACTCGGGAAAAGGCAGCAAAGGGGGCGGGGCCATGCTGCGCTGCTTTAGAGAAGAGGAAGAGAAAACTAGAGGTGCACGTAAAAATCTATTCATATATGAATCGCGATTCTGTCTTCTAACGATTCTAACGTATTCACAAGTTTCAAAATCAATGTTCTAAAGCAGTGGTTCTTAATCTTGTTCCTCGCATCCCCCTGCTCTGCATCTCTCTCTCTCTCTCATTCAGCTCAGCTCCAACAATGAACTGTTCCAATTATACTCTTATTTTCACATAGCTATGAGAAGCATTAAACATGAACGCGCATGCGGTTGCTGTACTGTATTAAAGCTTTAATCAAGATAAAACCATATATTAAAAGCTAACATAAGCAGTAGCATTTACAAATAACAGCGTATCTAAAAGTATGAGACAACAACAAACAAAAAAC